TGCATTTTTTCTTTCGTATTGTACTGCATCGTCTGACCTATCTTGCAGGATAAATTTGGAGTTTTCTATTCGTCAATTTATTTAAAAGGACCATCTCTCAAGGGATGAAGAAAAGTGAGGGGAGAGAAAATAAAAAGTACTAGTGGAATTAATTAGTAGTTTGGACGAGAGAGAAAAGAAGCTGGAAGGCCGTGGTGGTTTATGTGAAAAAATGAAGTGGATTCGTTCTCGGACTCAAGAAGGAAAATTAGAAACCGATATTAATTGGTAGCATCTGGGTTCCTAAGCCTCAGCCACCTGGACTATGCCAACGTCATTGAAAAGAAGAAAACAACTGATACCAGGGGCAATTGAGATTCGTATCCAGGGATTCCCTGGATACAAATCTCAATTAATTTTAGGTCCGCGCCATTCTTGGAAATAAATCATGGGGATGCAAAACGTTAAAAAATGTAGAACGCATGGAAAAACCCCACACGTCACTGAATTATGTTAATACGACGAGGGCATGACATGAAAGGCAACCTTTATGGCTCCAAAGGAGAGAGATGTCAGCAATGCTGAAAATCCATTCACTTCATGCGTGGCAAAGGTACATTTCATGACTCCTCTCTGAATGACCACTCTTTATTCAGACCACCTAAATATACGAAACTTTTAGAAAATAAATTTCGCAGAGCTTCCAATTTGACGCGAAGAAATCAAGGAACTCTGTTATCCACAGCAATTGTCAGCAACCCCTCGTTCCTCCCGTTCCGTCGTGCGCAAGCACCCTCCTGTCAGGAGAGGACACGGATCAGCTGGAAGTAGACGTAGTATGTACAAATATGGTACAGGCATCGCAGTCTTGGCCAAGGCCAAATTCCCACGCATTCAGTTCAACTGCTGGGCAATTCAACTCAAGAACGACGATTGCAGCCGAACGGCATTCACCGACGGGAACTCCTACCGATTATTCAGAATCACGATTCGTCGATGGTCAAGGAATCCAAGAGGCGAGGTCGAGCGAATCCCGAAGAGCAGACGGAAGATTATGGAGTGGGATTACTTCAGTGTCGTGGGCCTGGTCGGCTGTCATTCGTTCCAGAGAATTATGGATGACTCAAGCCTGCGGCTGTCATCTGGAGGAAAGGAAGAAGGGAAACTCCTAGCCTCAATCGTTTCTAGATGCGATTAGCTGCCTTCTAAACCGATTGCTAACGAGATCGATCGGGAATAGAATGGAGTTGGAGTCGTTTCATTTCCCTACCCATGTTGTCTTCATTTTTGTCTCGATTTCGTAATGATTTTTCTCTGAAGCATTTCTTCCTACTCATCGTCTAATCTCACCGTATGAAGCTGGTAGCCATTTTCATCGAATTGTATCACCAAATCAGGCGTGAATTTCTATCATTCGTCAATGGTTGTCGTCCCGGTTGTCCATTGCACCCAATTCTTGTCATTTCGTCATAAATTTCGTCTCGTTCTCGTCAATGTCGAATAAATAAATTCTGCTTTTCGGAAAAAAGAGGCATCCCGCTTTCGCTGTGGAATGAGGCTTTGCAAGTAGACCCACCTTTGTTTCTAAGAAAGAAAATCTATCCCCATGAATACTCTGGCTCCACGGTCGTGAAACTATGTTTTTTCTCCTGACTCCTGCTTCTCAAGTTTCATCAGGATTCTCTGCGGACCTTGTCTACTCCTACTTGTGAAGATATCCCTGTCATTACCTGATGACTGCGAGATGTGTCCCAATGTGTTCTTTGCTCTTTCATTTGTCATGACAGTATCCAAGGCATGATTGTGCCGTGTTTGCCACATCGTGAAGCTTAGGTTCAGCTAAGCTGGAACTGGCACGATAGAGGAGGCCATACCACAAAGTCTCCATGGCCTCTTTGCGTCAGCAGGGACGTCACTCCACCTTCTGAATAAATTTAATATGTTTATAGGAGGAGAGGACGTGCAGGAGATCGACTTTCACGTGGGATAAGATGAGTAATTGATACGTTTCTCCCTTCCTCACTAAGGTGCCCCTCGCAAAAGCATAATAGCTATGATAAAGGTCAAATACAATGGACTACCTGGGCCGAGCCTTCCTTTTTTTCCGCCAGCACTCACATCACGAGTACCCAATCCAAATGGTTGAGGACTAGCCCATTCGCTCGATCCGTGATGCTGCCTAGCTCAACATCTTATAAGGTATCGTTTACGCCCAGAGAAGTCGCTAGAAAATCTTCAAACTGATTCCACTAACTATAAAAATAAGCATTTGGTTGCCCCTTGATCGAGCCTGAGGCTGCCATCAAGGGAAGCTCCTAGTCTCAATTGCTTCCAGTTGCGATTTACAGCCTTCAAACTGATTATTGGCAGAACGAGATCGATCGGAAGGGGCTTGCCCGTTGTTTTTCCAATGCAAAGGAGAATTACCCCACGGAATTTCGGATATCTTCCCCGTTCAGAATCGTATAAGTATAACGCGGTTTTCATTTGCACTTCAATGATGATTGATGTCTCATTAATAAATGCAACAATGACATTGACACTTGGGTCGGCTGTGACAGTATTCATTGACCATTTCAAAATCAGCGTGAATCGTTCCGCGTCAATAATTACTCTGAATTGAAAACTGCTGAAAATATCCCCATGGGCTGCTACGTATTGAAATGATAAAAAATGAAAGGTTAGCACGACCCCTCAATTGCATTTTTGCGCCGATAATTCAGAGAGCCGTCAGTGAACAATGAAGGTCGATTGATGGGAAAAATTGCGCTCACCGGCGCACTGTAGCCCCAAGGGTAAATAACTCGGTCAGAGCCACCGAGGTCATTCACTGACACGACACCAGCATTGCACAGGGTGGCGCAAAAGTCGCGCACCACATGGGATTTCACTTTTGCACAACATTACCTCTTCGTTCTTTCTTTGCAGGGAACTGACGGCTGCAAAATTAATAATATATGAGAATGTGGAGTTTAGATATGTTCAAACATTATGTGTACAGCGAATCCAAGTGTTTTCAAGTTAATGGGAAACGATTCGAACATTTATTGAATACTTTGATTTACCCTATGGTGCGTGACTCTTGCGCCATCCTGTACAGCAGAATAGGGAATCGCCTCATCAAAGAAAATGCTGCAGTGACGAACAACAAAATGGCATTATCTGGTTCTACAACATTAAAAAAGAACTTGAGACCCCCGAACCAGTTCTAGCCGCGCAGATAATCACGATCCTTTGTATGTTGGTCGATTGAAGGGATCACATTGCGCTTCTTGAGTGGAGAATCATGCCTGTTTAAACTATAAGATTAACGATATCCTGCATCTGTCCAAAACTCCTGGACAGATTCGTCTCCAACCATCCTTTAATCCTATAGACCTGAACTCTTTTATCGGTAATACTTGCAAATGCGGAATAAATCTATGCTTCTTATTGTAGGTTCTGATTTTTCCTCAATTGTTCGCGCGTCCACGTCGCGAAAATGGACCCTGGTGACCCCCTTTGTATCTCAGGTCCAACCATGTTACAGGGGCTCCCGTTGAGGGTGACCACGAAGAATCAAAACCAAAACCAGCATGATGAGTTCGGCTCGAGTAATCCATACTGGCTCAGTCGTTTCCCAAGATAGTCACTGTGCTTTAAGGGTGATGATTGATATGTTGGCTCCTGGGGCCGGGCAATTCGAAGATTCTGGATGCGTCGGACCCAGTCATGCTACATCCAAGCCTATCGGTCGGCTCGCCACTGGCCATAGCGTATTCTCGGCACGATGCCCCAATGGCTGACCAGGAGCAGAATCGAACGGTAAACGACTTTGGCATCGGGACTTAGAATGTGCTTACACTTGGCGGTAAGGAACCTCAACTCGTGGAGAAGGTTAGGAGACGACTAGATATAGTTGGCCTGATCTCCACCAAGAGAAAAGTCACCGGTCCCATTACTCTACTGTAGACCTCGTAGAAACCCTCTACTGGAGTGGAGTCGACTCAATCGTGTTTGCTCAGGCTGAAGTAGGGATACTCATTATTCCCCAACTGGCCGAAAGAGTCATGGAATGGAACCTAGTCAGCGCGTCTCTCTGATCCGCCTCAGATTGGAGCAAGTCGGAGTCTTGGCCGTCGTTCAGGTCTACGGGCCGAACGGCGAGTCAGATTATGATGCGTTATTGGAGGAGGTGTATGAAACCTTAGAAAGGATTCCGAGCGGCGACCGTGTTGTGTTGATGGGGGACTTCGATGCACGAGTTGAGAGAGACGATGCCACGTTCATGGGATGCAGTAATCGGTCGATTTGGGAAAGCCGCGCTGACCGGGAGGCATAATTTGAAACCTTACTCCTGTTCGAACACTGGGACTGGAACAGCCAAACTCCTCCATGACGTCATGGTGGAAGCATGGCTACCTCCGCAGCTGCGGGTTAATGCAACTGGCACAACTCAACTAAAGTCACTAGGCCACTGAGCATGTAGCTGAATTCGAAAAGAAACATAGTCGCTATCAGAAAAGCAGGGAGTAATGAATATTTTAGAGTCGCTCTAGGTAGGACTAAGGTTTTCTCACCAAACATCGATAGTGCAAGGCAGGCCGACCTTATTCGTATTGCTAACTGCGAATAGGCCCGATGTTAGGCCTAGGTTTGCATGAGTTCTGCAATCAGTAGCAGTGCTGATAATTTCCTAATTGAAAACTTTTTTTTACGACCTCAGTTTAAACACTTTCGGATCTACAATGGTGCTGTTAGCATAATGTCGACCTGCGTTGAGCCATCGAAGTTAAGTGAGAAAACCATAGGACTATGTTTCTTTTCGAATTCAGCTACACGCTCAGTGGCCTAGTGACTCTAGTTGAGTTGTGCCTGTTGCATTCACCCGCAGCTGCGGAGGTAGCCATGTTTCCACCATGACGTCATAGAGGAGTTTGATTGGCAGTTCCAGTCCCAGTGTTCGAACAGGTGTAAGGTTTCAAATTATGCTTACCGGTTTGTCTCACGAGAAACAGTTCACGCACATCAAAACAAGGTGAATGCTCATTCGCTGGGATATGGTAAAGTTATCTTTAGATTCGGGTTTGGGGGATTCCTGCGACTCCGATGGGGAGTGCAAGCCTCGGCATTCCGTGTGTGTCGATGGAACGTGCGAGTGCGAGCAGAGTCACCTCGAGGAGGGGAAACACTGCAGTGAGTACATTTACGTATTTTCGCATGCACGCACCGTTATGCACCGTTTCATAATGCGACGCGAATCGTCGCACGTTGCGTTTCGTTCGAGGACGAGCGACATGGTTATACTTATCTTGTTCACGGTGCGAGGAATGGCGAAAAGCAGTTCGTTATTTGTGACACATTTTCACTCTTCGAGGTACTCGTATCATGAAATTGTTCAAGAGACAAGTGCGACGACGTGTAGATGTGTAGATGCGACGAAGATCGGAAGACCGGCACTACGGAACTTTCATCGCCTTATTTTGGTCTTAAATATGGATCGAAAACCTGAAGCCTCTATGGCACGATAACTCGCCAGAATAGGGTGAAACTAGTGGAGAGGTGGACGTAGGTCGTCGAGTGCCTCCCTCTTACCTTCACCGTAACTCTCTTCGATGTTATTTTTACTTTCACATTGGTTAAATACAACTATTTTTCCCCCTCATTCCTGCCATTCTGATGTTTGTCGCAGAGATCCCGGTAGGGGAACTCTGCAGAGAATCTTCGGAATCGGATTGCGTGAATCACGCCGCCTGCGTCGGGGATGGATGGAGAACCTGCCAATGCCAAGACGCTGGCCAGGTCGTCTTCGTCGTGGAACGCGGACGGTGCAGTGAGTGATCCACAAGTATTCGCGGCCGATCGTCGACCGAGAAACGCGACGCGAGTTGACATTTAGAGGGCAAACCTCTTACGATAAGCTTCAAGTTCTGATATTTCCGAAAACCCTCTCGTGTGAAACGATCATCGCCGTCGTAATTGGCTGACGACCGGAAAGTTCCTCAGTCGGCCTCATGCCCTTGCTAAAACGCTGTGAAATTCGAGCTGTCGAGTGGGAAGGAAATCGGAATGTGGAGTCGGAAATTTGTATTTGGGTCAACGACGAACCGAGCATTTTCTGAGCTAATTCTTATGCAGCACAACACGTTGGACCCACGTAGACTGGGCGTGAGAGAAAGCAGGCAGACATCGCAGTTGCTTGTCCGTGTATGCCACACGTCGGTGCGGCAGCCTACCTGCCGGCGAGCCATATATCTGAATCGATCGAGCAAACAAGGTTTCCGTGATGGCACCTAAATATCCACTATGGCAGTGGTATTAGGGGCTGACTTGCTACCGTTTCCCACTGCTTCTCCTGCGGTACCGGACCATTACAGGCAACCTTACATTACGTTACAGGCAACGCAAAACAGACACTTGAATTCCTGAATGTGCTCGGTTAAGTATGCTAATGAAACGAGTCCAGGGAGAATCCTGGGAATCGAGGAGTACGTATGCTTCCCGACTCGATGGGATGAGAATCACTTCGAAGGATTCCCGATGATTGTGGAGGCTGGCATCGCTTCAGGTCGTGCAGATCCCGGTACGATCATGAGGGATCACCACAGGGAGCTCGGATAGGTTGCGCTGAAAGAGCGAGATAGGAAACTCCGTGAAACTCCAATCCCGAGAGGGAAAAATGCATCGGAGGGAGACAATCGAGGCAGGGAGTACTCCTGAGTACTCGTTGGAGTACTTCCTGACCGCGAGTGACTCAGAGGCAAGGTGGGGGAGCAAACGATGCCGTGCAAATACCAGGTGTCCCAAAACGACGTAGCACTTTGACGAAAGAACGTATTGAAGATATTATAAACAAACTTAATTTAGCGCCAAAATGCACACAAATGGGCATTGACCCTAAGGGAAGAGATGTGAATTCTCTAGATGGTGCCCACCCATCTCGTAACGCAATAAGGTATGACGTGACATGTGTCCGAAGGCGCGGTGGCCAAAAGCCATTTCCGAAATACTTTTTTTTTAAATGTAACATCGTTTTGGGACACCTGGAACACGAAATTCCTCTAACCATCATCTAATAACATGCCGCGCATCAGCGCACAAAGTTCATTCAATGTTTACTTCCAACATTGGTTCAAGTGGGACTGCATTCGGCATCGGTTTCCTGCTTTTCCTGCTAATCCCTCACACACACACATAATCACACCCACGCACAAGTGGGTGTGAGTCGGGAGGGAGGTCCAACAAGGAAGAGCTACTATTCAAGATTTCATGCAAATCGGCAATTAAAGCCTCGCGTTCTCTATTCCCTGGGAGAAAGTACGCAATCTTGGTGTCATTTGATCCCTGAAACATCCCTATATGGGAAGGGCACAAAAAATCCAGTATTTTCGACCGATGAACAGAGGAGATCGACCCGGTATGGCAGAAATGGCCTCCATTATCAAAATAGACCGCAGCAAAAAGCGATTGGCTCCGAGGAGAGTGAACGGATTCTCATGAAAATACTCATGAAGTTTGTTGAGAGACTTCTTAAGAGATCTATCCGATGAATTTTTTAAATTTCGGCCTCGTTTTCGAGCAATGTCCGTCAACGTGAAGTCATTTCCAAAAAAGTGGCATTTTCAGGTGGATCGTCGAACTTTGGGAGACAACGGTTGGAGAAAACTAAGCGCAACTCCGCCAAAAGATGGACCAGGATAGCCTCCAAAAAGTGTAGCATGCTTTGGTCGATGGAAAATTTCTACGAGGAATGAGAGCGAAAAAACAGAATCCGAAAATGGAAAATTTCTCAACTATGGCGCCATGGCGTCCCGATGACAACGGTTACATGCATGTATTAATTTTTTCCATTTAGCGCGATATCTTCCAATGAGAATGGCATGTATTTGACGTTTCTGCAACCAATGGTTTGGGGCGAAACACATTTTCAAAGAGAAGCATGTAAATCGCAAACTTTGACCTCAAATCATGAGTGGCGTGACCATGAGTGGAGTGAGGCGTGACCTCAGGGAGTCAGCAATCGGTTCAAAGGCCCTTTCCTGAGGTCCCTTACAATAATTATGAAGCGCAATTTCGATCCACGGGGTTCGATTTTCATCTTCCCATAGTACCTTAATGCAAGTCAAGCTGCTTGGGTGCCTGAAATGCGGGTCATCGAGAGTGTGGGTCATGGGTGTTTCCCACCATTCAGTCCCAGTCAGAAGGATGAATTCGGATGCAGCCTCCTCGAACATATTTCCACCAACACAGCAAAGTAGAAACGTACAAGGAGAGGTACAAATGTGAGAGGTACATATTGTGTCCCTCGGGTCTGCACGTGTGGTCCAGACGTACACATGTGTACGTTGCTGACGCAGATGTCCGGGTTCTCAGTGCAGTTCAATTGCGGTCTAGAACCGGTTTTTGAATCCCCTTAAGCCCGATGTGAATAGAGATAAGAAAGGTACACATGTGTACCTTTTCAACGAACGTATTTTACGACAACGTTTGTACCTCATAACGTACAAAATGTGTACCTGACTGTACGTTTCTGCTTTGCTGTGTAGGATACGCGATGCATAATCCTTGCCAGGATGCCGAGCTTTCACCTTGGGAATGTGTTGAACCAGCACTCGATATTCAACTCAAACACACGCGATCGATTAACAGCCGCGATAATAAATAGATGGGCAATTCGGCTAGATACCTGAGTAGGATCATATACTTGATACGCAGGAGCGTATCAAGATTCTCTCGAATGATCCTCCTTGATCCTATGTGATTAAAAACTGAGTCCGATGGAATGGTTCCTTTGTAAAACGGAGTGTGTTTTAGAGGTGGACAAACACTGCTTGACTCCAAGGCACGTGAGCTGCGATATGTTGCATCCACATATAAATATTTCTTAATTTACCCCATGAAATATATGATGCTATACATATATATTCAGTAAAAAATCTTCAATAAATTACAATAGTAGGAATTATAGGAATAATAAGTTTGCTATAGATGGGGGTTCAAACAGTTTCCGGTCTAAGGGAGAAGACGAAGTTAGAAGAACACGAATGTTATTTCATTTTCCGACATAATCTTCTGGAACAATAGATCATTTTTGCCTGCGCGATTCCAGCTTTTTGAGTCCACTAAAAAAAATTATTCCTCTTGGTCTTCAAACTGTCAACGGCCATCTTGACGTCATAATCAGTACTGAATTTCCTTCCACGCAAATTTTCTTTCAAAAGAGTGAAAAGGTAAAACTCAGAGAGAGCCAGATCAAGTGAATAAGGAGGGTGGGGAAGCAATCCAAAGCCACATTGGCGGAGACCAGTGTCTGCAACCTGAGAGGCATGAGCTGGTAAATTCCCCTGGAGAACTAGCACTCTCTGAGGAAGTTTCCCTTGGTGCTTCTTCTTGATTGCTACTCTCAGCTTTCAAAGCAGGTTGTCGTAATTGTCACCCGTGATGTTCGTTCCATGTTCCAGGTAGTCACTTTGTAGAATTCCCTTTGCATCCCAAAAGACACAGGTCATGTCATTGCCTGCTGAGGCAATGACATGACCTTGCATTTTTAATGGGTAGTGAATCTGTTTGTTTTTTTTCGCTAAAGACTTTGATGTTTTGTTTTCTGATCAAAGTGGTGAACATATGCTTTACCTTGGGTTACCACCCTGAAGAGAAACTCGGCTGGATCTGCCTGGTACCGCTAAAGAAGCTGCATCGAAACATGCTGGCGATGCTGCATCGGTTCTGCGTTCAACATTCTGGGCACCCATCTGGCAGACACTTTCTTCATCCGGATGTTGTTCTTCAATATAGACTCTACACTACCAGCACTAATCCGCAGGGTCTTAGCAATGGGCCAAATGGTCATTCGCCATGCTGAATACACCATAGCCTCCACACGATCAACATTCTCATCAGAGGTTGAAGTTGTTGGTCTACCTGACCGTGACACATCATCTGTGCTCAGCCTGCCACGTTTGCATGCAGCAACCCAACTTTTCAACGTGATATAGGAAATAGAATTGTCCCCTAAAGCAGTCTCTATCTCAACGTGGATTTCCTTTGCAGTTAAGTTCTTCAAATGCAAGAATTTAATCACTGCACGAAACTCCACTTTTCCATTTTTACAAAAACATGAGAGTGACCTCACTTAAAAAATCTGTGAAAAAAGGAAAATACAAGCTGAGTGACCGGGCATGCTAGTTTTCCTCTTGAAATTGAATGGAGAATCATGGAAAAAAGCGAAGTTGTGCAAACTGCTCATCTTTCCGCTCAGGCCGGAAACTTTTTGAACGCCCTCATATATACAACATAAATTGAGCCCTCAAAATGGGACAGTAGCAGTCGAGCAACCGCACCTGAGTCGCCTTCGCTGACTTATCACCGCTTTCATGCAGCACAGAGTAGTCGTATTTCTGCACAGCGAAATGTGTCCATGGTGACCCCGAGCTGACATCATGACTTACCATTGGTCTGCCAATATCGTGCTCGAGGCATTTCTGTTTGTGCCAACATGAATGACCCTCGTCCACGAGGGAGGGAAAATTGTCAGCAGTTACTCGGTCTCCATCGATGACATCTTGAAGGTTATGTTGACATGTTATACTGTTCCAAATAATTTCTGTTTGACGTCATTTATTCATTTTTATCGTTTTCCAATGAAATTATGATATTAATGGGGAACACAATAGTTCATATTCAGACAGTGATGGTATTTTACTTTCTCTGGGACGGGTAAAAAAGCCATATTGAAGCACTTTAAACGTAGCGGAAATGAGTGTGATACAGCAGAGCTTCCTTTATTTCTCGAGGTAATTTTTCATGAACATGCCACGCAACGGCACGTGACCATCGGGACTGAATCGTGTCGTCTTCTGTGCAGAGGTACCCGTGGGCGTATATTGTCAACATCATAAAGAAGATTGCGTGGAAAATGCAGAGTGTCGGAAGAGAAAACCAAAAGAGTGCGAGTGCAACGAAGACTACAGGGAAGAAAAAGGCCGATGCGGTGAGTTGACGAACTGGAGGATCTCTTTCCTGCCGGATGCCGATGGGGCACCATTTACTTTACCATGGTTTATGTTAACCCAAGGATGCATGACACGGGTCGTCGGGACTCTCGCCATTCGATGCAAAAAGTGTTTCATCTGTACATACTTGATTTATCGGTTCCTTACACGGACATTCCNGCCCTCCTCGTAGATGTGAGCATCCCAGCCGATAACAACCTCCAAGAGAAGACCAGGGAGAAGCTGGAGAAATACTCCGAACTGAGAGTGGAAGTGGAACAGTTGTGCGGAATGAAGACCACCATAGTTCCGATCATCATAGGCACAACTGGCGTCGTCCTGAAAGACCTCAAAGGATATGTCAGGAAGCTGGAGTGTGAAATCTCACTCGATATCCTCCAGAGTACAGCAATCTTGGGCACGGCCAGCATCCTTCGCCGTGTCCTTCAGAATTAGGCGAGTATGAGGTCTGGGATGTGGTTCATCCCCCTTCATATCTCCAATACCGCCAGGTGCCGTGGAAGGTTTTATTATATACAGTATATTTATATTTCACATCCAACACTGATAACACATCCCACTCAGCCTATGTCCTGGAAAGCCACAGAATTGTAAGCTTTACAGTTGCATGGACTAATCACGAAACGCGCCTAGCCTATGACATGGAAAGGAAAAGGCTTGAATGGCAATCGGCTACCGGGCCTATGATCTAGAAAAGCAAAGGCTTAAATGGCTATGGACTACCTAGCCTATGTCCTTGAATGGAAGAAGCTTTATAGGCCAGAGGCTACACCTACCACGAATCTTCTTAGTTTGTTCTAATACAGTATGGAATGCAATGGATAAATGTGTACAACTAAAAGAAACCGATTATGAAAATGCTTTGCTTTTATAATAAAAAATACACACTTTGACGTGTACTTACGGTGCGACGTTTCGCAGTGCCAGAGAATGGTGCAGGGTTAGACGATTTCTGCGATCCAAGCCTGCAGAATTGCTATTCGGAACATGCTGAGTGCATCGGCGAGCCCGGTTCTGCAACTTGCAAGTGCACCTCGGACTATGTACGGGATGAAGACCTCTGCAGTGAGTTGAGTCTGATCGATTTCAAGATGAAAAAGGCCCAGAATAACTCAAATTTCTTGCCCGTCTTTAAATGCCACATTATGCTATTTTCTATATTTTTTCAGTTAAGTGGAATCCAGGACTGGGCGAACGGTGTGACGCTACCGTCGCAATTTGCACCCCAGATAATTCGGAATGCGTTGGCGATTCCGGTTCGAAAACGTGTCGATGCAAGGAGGGTTTCACTGAAGATGATGAAAACTGCAGTGAGTCGTATTTTCTTCCCATGAGATCCTTACGCTATCGCAAAACCGGTCGGTCCGAAATTGGTGTTTTGAAAATCTTTGCGTTCCAGGGCTGCTATTCCTCGGTGAATTGTGCGACGAGTGGCACGAGTGCGCAGCTCCGAATTCGCATTGCTTCCAAGATGACGGTGGTCTCTCGACCTGTCAGTGCTTGCCGGACTACGTCCAGGAACAGGATCGATGTAGTGAGTTTTCTCACGCGATAGAGGGAGTGAGACAATTTTCTGATTCTGCCTTCTTCCAGGGACTCCATCTCTGGCGATCATTTTTCGTAACAAAGTAAATTCGGAAAAACAGAAGCGAAAACTGCTGCAAATGCAGGCAGATTACATACTTAGGTGAACAAGGATTTGAATGAAATTCACGGAGGAACGTAAAAAGGAGGAAGAAAACCCAACAGAAACCGAAGAAGCCACGTCGAGGCACCCGTCTAATCCATATGCTAAGTTTGGTGGAGTGAACAGAATACTATTCACATCACGCACGAAGTCTGGCAACACCATACTTTTTTTCAACAGTTTGTCGTACCTTTCATGCAGGATATTGTTTGCTCTCGTACAAGGTGCATGAGTACACATGCAGCAGCAAAGCCGATGTTGGAACGGTGTAAGAGTGGAATGAGTATTGGGTCCTTTTCCTCGATCGGCTTTCGACTCGGGGTTTTATAACTTCCTAATCAGAAGATTAATGTGGTATCTGTTTGAATTATTAACTCGGTAAATTCGAAATTGAGGGCTCCGGATGTATGGCACATGACATTGAAACAATTTAGGCTAGTTGCACGTGTCACTCCTTCCGAACCGCTTTGCCATGCGGGGAATCTTTAGTTTTTTCGTGCTGCTGCAGGCATATTTTTCTCGTGCCTAGATTGCGAGCGATCGGCACGACACGCCTGTGAAAATGGATTCAGCAAAAAGCAATGGTGACATTGGGAAGGCTCTCCAAGGACTGAGCCTCGTTACACCTTCGCTCTATTCCAAGAAGTTTGCCAGGAGGCTCTAGAGATCGGTTTCTGTTCGAAGCTCAGCTTGAAAGCTCCTAATTTTTACTTTGGCTACCCTATACCGGTTTCTCAGTCTTGCTTCCTTCAAGAGTAATGGTCTGACCAAGTGATTGTGCTGTCTTGCGTGAGGGGTTCGTGACATTCCTTTGACGGAACGTTCCACAAGTTTAGCTCGTCCCGATATTCCCACAGCACGTTACTGTACTGCACTCTGTCGTCAGGCCAATCACCACTCATTCTAGACAATCTGTGGGGAAAAAAAAGTTGCCAACAATTTACACCACGCAACATACTTTGATGGCATACCAGATCATCCAAAACCCCAACCTCTCAACGCCACGAGAAAAAATTAGTTTCACAGTCGCACCTGTACATTAAATGAATGCGGCCAATCAATCATTAACACCGTTTCCGCATTAAAATTTACATATAACTTCGTCTTTTCAGAACACTTATTTTTTAGTCCTTAAAGGGAGAAAACTGGGACAATTATACTAAATTGGTCCTGGCTTTCATCTTATCGCAGATAGCCATTCATTTGATTTATATTGCCTTCTTTCTCGCGTTTATCTTTGACTCTGATTACATGGGAATGCTAAATTTTGAGTTTTTTCATTATTTCAACAAGGATTCTATTCCGAGGTTCGAACTTAATATCGCTTTTACATTATGGTTTCATACTGTCACTTCGTGAAATTTCGATTGTCTCACCTTCATATTCCTTCATAATCTACTCACAGTCGTCATACTTTGAAAAAGACGACATTCTGCGAGACAGGAATCCCATTGGAGAACTGGAAACATGACCAATTTTATTTCGTGACCGGAAGTTTGTTTTTGCAAGATGACCAAAGGCAAATTTCGCCTGCGGTCACGAAAGACTGACTCATTTCATTTTTTGCAGATGTGGCCATAAACATGGCGTGTAACGAGACCCAGGAATGTTTGGCAAATGCAGCTTGCTTGAATGGAGCGTGTCAATGTATACCAGAATTCATGGAGTACAGCGAACGATGTGGTAAGTACGAACGTTCGAAGATTTCTTTGAAGCCAGGTCCCAAAGCAGCTTGAGCATTTCGTTTCCTAATATTCATTTCCAATGAGGAAGCGTTACTAAATAAAGATCAAAATTCAGATAATTTTTCCTTCACTGAAAATGGATGCAAGGTTGCCTGTGACTAGTTACGAAGTTGATTGTCGTTCATTTTCGATCGAGATTATTTATTATATGCAAAATGAGAGCTAGCTTCTTATAATTTATAGCACCATTGCGTGGCAACGTACTTGCACACAACACCTCCAGAGACCATACATACATGTTGACAGGGATTTTCATTTTGCTCCAGGAATCTGCAGATAAAATTGAGAGATATCGAATACGAGGAAATGACAACTTGCCTTGTTCACGAATATGCGCTGCCGCTTTCCAGTGGCAGAGAATAGCGTCGGGCTGGGCGGAAGCTGCGATCCGATCGCGCAGAATTGCAACACAGAACACGCAAACTGCGCCACACAAGGAGGCAATTCAACGTGTGAATGCGTTGAGGGATACGTCCAGGAAGGAAGCGTCTGCAGTGAGTGGAGTCTCATCCACTTCCTCCTGAACTCCTTCATTCCTTCCTCAACGCGTGGAGTCGCTAAAAAAAATCCAACTGTATTTCTATGTTTAGAATACAGCATTTCTATGTCACGAAAATATGCCTTATAAAATGTGAAGTCAAATGAAAAATTTTCCCTCTTTGTTCATGTATTTCTTACTCCTCCTTCACTGTTTACTGGAAGTAAATTTTATTTAAAATATGCACCTTCTCACCAAATTTTCTTCAGTTGGTGTTTTTAATATACTTTGTAGTTTTTTATTTCGTAGTTCATCTATTCCTGCTTATAAATGCAATTTTTGCAGTTAAATCGAATCCAGCTCTAGGCGAACGATGTAACGCCAGCCTAACAAATTGCACCGTGGATTATTCGGAATGCGTTGGAGATCCGGGTTCAGAAAAGTGCCGATGCGAAGAAGGTTTCGTCACATCCGATTCCAACTGCAGTCAGTCTTTTCGTCCCCTTTTGAGTTCCTCACAGTGTCATAAATACGGAGAAAAAACTTGTGTTTGGAACCATCATATGTTGCAGGACTGCCACGCCTCGGGGAAGAGTGCGTCGATGAACTGGAGTCTCCGTGCTCAACCGAGCATTCCGATTGTTTCCCGGATGGGAATGACATCCTCACCTGTCAGTGCTCGTTGGGTTATGTTCAAGAACGTCTTCAATGCCGTGAGTTCATGGATGAGAAGGGCGGAGAGAGTACTCGAAGCGCAAGAAGATAGTATGTATCTACATGACGTAGCTCAATATTAGCCCACAATGTTATGAATATATACATATTTGAAACGTAGCCAACCGAATCCATGAAAGTTTGTGGGAAGTTGATGCTATAAAACCCATTGAGGGATATTTAAACAAGGAGCCGCATCCAATACATGATCTTAAATCAATAGCAGAGTGGAGAGTTTTTTCTCGTTCAATCTTTTCAATGATCTCGAATATCTCTGGCATGTTCTGTGACCAGATTTGATCATTTGCATTTTAATGTTGAGGGAGACTAGAGTTTCCCCGCGAAGAATGTTCTAAGTAGCTAAATACAAACTCTCCAGCAGGGCAAAGCGTTTGTGTTCATAACGAGACCTACATCCTCGGTAGTCAGTGTATGGGTAGTTGGGTTGATTGGAAGGATGTGTCAAGTGTGTAGCCTCAGAGAGTGTCGCGTAAGTTAATATTCAGTATTGTTGAAAGCTCCTTAGGAAATTTAAAGTCAGATGGGTCGCAGATTCACAGATATGGCACGAGGACTGCTGCCTGTAAATCCTTAGTCACGTTAAAGAGAGCATATCTTTGTCGACAGGGTTGCCTCGCTTTGGAGAGGAATGCGAAGACGCTGTTGGCTGCGATGCTGAAAACGAAGTGTGTTTTGAAGGAAAATGCAGTTGCCCAACTGGATTCGTCGAAAGCGAAGAGAGCTGTAGTGAGTTCTCGAGCTGCGTTCGCTTTACTGATACTCCCCTTTTCACGTTCATATTGACAACCCAGCTAGCTGAATGCATCCTCTTGCCGGAAATGTAATTTTTCAAAAATAATGTACCCAGGTATATGGGAGGTACAGTATGTAATCATGAAACATACCGTTCAATAAATGGAAATATATGGAACAGTCATTACGTTTCTATCGCACCAACAGAATAATGGTAGACTTTTCTGATGAGGGTTATTTGAAAAATTGGGACTGCTTCCGCCTATTGAGGCAGAACAGTTAGGATTCGATTTTATACCAGTGTCATGGAGGGCAACTTAGAATGGACTTTTACCATTCTGTACAACTGGATAGACAATATCGAGGAATCCGTTAAACTAACTCCAGCAAAGAATGGAACAGGGGGAAGCAAGGATTCCCTCGCCCCTTCACCATCAACTTCATTTATGTATTGTCTTTATCCCAACCGATTGAGATGTTGAATCCAAACAGCAGCACGATATGTCCATAATATGAGCCCCACTCTTCATGCATAATCATTCACTGAAGAATGGAGAGGGTACTAATATCAGGTATAGAATTAAAGGAAAAAGCGTTCGGGCATTGTTTGCAATGTTTGCATTTCAACAATTGTACCCAGTGGACAGCAAAATACTTCGTTTTTGCGGAGCTGGTCTTCTCCCTATTAAAGAGAGGATCCAATGACATCAATATGCATTTTAATACAGCGATATGTGAACAGCCTAAGCAACCATTACCTGTACAGAACCTAACTGTTTATTGCTTGTTTCTTTCTTTGAGAATTGAAGAACTTGATGCAGTTCATACTTTGGCCTTGGGTTCCGTATCCTGGTAGGTTAGACATACGAATAAGGTAGTTATTTTGGGTCATACGAACCTCAGAGATCGTCCTTGTGAAAATCCTCATACCCCTTGAAACAACTTCCTGAAAATATTACCAGACGTTAAGAACTTTCCTTTTACAGATCAATGCATCCCTGGTGTCAATCAGCAATCCATTCCAGAGATTTGAAAATGCATCAACGTCGTATGTGGATGTCAAGGTTGATATGGGAAGTTAGCGATACCCAACCTGAATCATTCCAACCGTCCCTTTCCTTGAAACTCCTTCAAAAGGATGTGACATGGGTCTATTAACCCTTTTGCGTCGGGGGAAGGTGGCACTTAACCATCCCCACAGGCGGCTAAACCGACCCCCCTGGATTTGCAAAGTAGTTATTGTAATCAATAGTATATACACTGAAGTTGACACATGACTTTATACCAACTGAACCGCGCCTCTGAGAAAGGTACACTTTGGGCGGAGGAATGGAAGAGGTGTCGAAACCTCCAGATGAAATTTCTGGGAAATGCCTTACACGCGACGGATTTAATCAAACTCGCGTAAATAAAAGTCAACCGCGCTTACATAGACCGACGTGTATATGTGGGAACCGACGCTTAAGGGTTAAGTAAATTTTCTTTATTTTAGTCCGTCACTGCACGACAGATGACAACCTCTTTGACGCCTTGGAGGGAGACATGATTGAAACGCCCTGTCCCGATGGCCAGTACGGCAAGCAGCGACGGTACTGCTCCGAACGTGGATGGTTGATGCATGACTCCTGTCATTCACTGAGTAATTGGATCGATGATCTTTGGGGATTGGTATGTTTCTCAGGTTCTTTGAATCTGAGAATGTGATCAGTTCGGCAATAATGATCAAAGCTGTGATCAAATAACCGTATGATTTTCCAGCTGAACGATTCGAATCCTCTGGAAATCTTATCCAACTTGACTTCGGCGATCGAAAGCGAAGAAAAACTATCAGGAGGCGAAATCGAAGCCATTGTAGGTTTCCTTGAACCGTTATTCGAAAAATTTATCGATGGCATGGGCGGAGATGACACGGCTATGGAAAGCGCTAAGATGTTCCTCGCGAACTTCACATCGGTCACCGACCAAGTCCTCAGGGCTGCCGACGGGTGGAAGGAGATTTCGGAGGTGAGCGAAATTTCATGTTTCGAGAATAATTATTGCACGATGGAGGCGGTCACAGTGACTATGCAATATCCGGCAGCGAGTGTAAATTTAGCTAAATGTATACCAAACTTCGCTCAGTGAATACTATTAGATATTATTAGTGCTCACCAAAAATTAATAAAGATTCATCGAATGTAACTCATTTCAAAAATCAATACAGAGAACTTTTCGGACAACCCTCGTAATGGAGAAAAAAATGCTTTTCAGATATCCTTTCAAAGAGTTCCAGAAATGTTCCACAGTACAACATTCGGAACATGTTCGATTGACCACAATTCAATGAAAGTACATCTTCATTGAGACAAGGAAAAAAACATGGAGTTACCGTTACCCACAGCCAGAGCTGTACACATATGCAAATATTGCTGAAGGAAATAATTCTGCCGTATATATTCTACAGCAACAATGAAATTAGCAATGACACATATCAATGGAGGAAATATTTTGCCTGAAAAATCATCATTAAGGGTCCTCGCTTGTTGTCACGAGCGTATGCAGGGTAGTCGGAAGGTATTATAGTAATAAAAGCCATGTGGGAAATACAAGTTCATAAATGGAGTTATTCCTGGGCATGACCTATTACTTGCCTTACCTCTCCATCAAGTCTAACTTACTTGTAGGGATGCATTAAGAAACAAATTCACTAGAATAAACATAATACCACTCTGGTGGTAAAGATACCCTTCATGTCGAATTCCGTAAGTCAACCGCTTTTATTACGTTTACGTCTGTACAGGTGAATCGGACGAAAACATTTTCGTCCCTCCTCAAGACTGTTAGTCGCTACTGTCTCCTTTTATCGGAAAAGCTCACTGGTTCTGATCAGTACCTGAAGTTTGCACAGGCAAAATCGGCATTAGTGATTGAAGTATACGGAAGTAAGAAGAAAGCTGGATCCAAACCACTCACGTTCCCCAGCATCGAAAGCAAGACGCAGTTGCGGTTGCCCAGGACATTCGAAGGCTTTTTTCAAGGCAACTCTTACTCCTGCGTCGGGGTGCTGTATTCTATACGGGATTTAAATCTACTGTTGCCTGGACATCAAAACGCGTATGCAACCACTCGCAAAGCCATTTTCCCCATCTTGTCTCTTCCAATTTAACTGTATTTCTCTTGCAGTTTGGGAGAGCAGAAGACGGTGAATTCCAAACTTTTGAGCTTCGTCGGAGATGACACGGCTATGGAAAGCGCTAAGATGTTCCTCGCGAACTTCACATCGGTCACCGACCAAGTCCTCAGGGCTGCCGACGGGTGGAAGGAGATTTCGGAGGTGAGCGAAATTTCATGTTTCAAGAATAGTTATTGCACGATGGAGGCGTTCACAGTGACTATGCAATATCCGGCAGTGAGTGTAAATTTAGCTAAATGTATACCAAACTTCGCTCAGTGAATACTATTATATATTATTAGTACCAAAAATTAATAAAGATTCATCGAGCGTAACTCATTTCAAAAATCAATACAGAGAACTTTTCGGACAACCCTCGTAATGGATAAAAAAATGCTTTTCAGATATCCTTTCAAAGAGTTCCAGAAATGTTCCACAGTACAACATTCGGAACATGTTCGATTGGCCACAATTCAATGAGAGTACATCTTCATTGAGACAAGGAAAAAAACTTGGAGTTACCGTTACCCACAGCCAGAGCTGTGCACATATGGCAAATATTGCTGAAGGAAATAATTATGCCGTATATATTCTACTGCAACAATGAAATTAGCAGTGACACATATCAATGAAGGAAATATTTTGCCTGAAAAATCATCATTAAGGGTCCTCGCTTGTTGTCACAAGCGTATGCAGGGTAGTCGGAAGGTATTATAGTAATAAAAGCCATGTGGGAAATACAAGTTCATAAATGGAGTTATTCCTGGGCATGACCTATTACTTGCCTTACCTCTACATCAAGTCTAACTTACTTGTAGGGATGCATTATGAAACAATTTCACTAGAATAAACATAATACCACTCTGGTGATAAAGATACCCTTCATGTCCAGTTCCGTAAGTCAACCGCTTTTATTACGTTTACGTCTGTACAGGTGAATCGGACGAAAACATTCTCGTCCCTCCTCAAGACTGTTAGTCGCTACTGTCTCCTTTTATCGGAAAAGCTCACTGGTTCTGATCAGTACCTGAAGTTTGCACAGGCAAAATCGACACTAGTGATTGAAGTATACGGAAGTAAGAAGAAAGCTGGATCAAAACCACTCACGTTCCCCAGTATCGAAAGCAAGACGCAGTTGCGGTTGCCCAGGACATTCGAAGGATTTTTTCAAGGCAACTCTTACTCCTGCGTCGGGGTGCTGTATTCTATACGGGATTTAAATCTACTGTTGCCACCTGTAGTTTTGCGCATACGTTGGTGAGCGTTTCGGTAAAAGGGGTAGAACAGAGAAGGTTAAATTGACATAAAGAGAACGTCAAACCCTCTCGTCTTCTGCCACTTAAGGTTTGAAAACTCGAAGCCTATGAAAGTGGACGAAACATTGGAACTGCGGGATCCCGTCACTCTCATTATGGAAAATTTGCGTCCTCCCCGAAACCCTCCGTACCATGACATATGGAGGAACTTACACGAAGGAGAAGAACCAACCTTTGTCCCCCTAAGCCATCGTTGCACCTTTTGGAACTTTTCCGAAGAGTTACGCGCGGACCATTTCTGAAAATACCACGATTTCCGAAATCGTACAGGATGTCTATAAGTCCAATTACTCGCATATTCCAGGGGTCATTGGGACACGACGGGCTGCCGTGCGGTGTTCTCTGACAGGGATCAGACGGTGTGTGAATGCATGCATCTGACCAACTTTGGGGTTCTCATGGACCTACACGGCTATGTCGTGAGTCAGAAAAACTTAATTCTCAATGCATCGCAGAAAAGAGACTAAACAACAATCAGAATGCTTTGGTTTTTTTTTCAGGGACGTAGCTTGCCGCTGGAAGTACTCTCCATGTTTTTATCCTCCCTCTCTATAATCGGACTCATACTTGCTCTGGCCGTTTTCCACATGAATAAGTCAGTTTCCATACCTCCCGATCAGATTTGGCGATTATCATCGTTTTTGTAGCAATTTGTTTCATCTTTGAAGCTTCATCTTTTTTCAGAGATGCAAGCCCGAAGTCCAGGGAGCTGAACATCCAGTTGTGCCTCTGCCTTTTGTTGGGCCATATTCTTTTTCTTTTGCTCATCGATCGAAAAGTCTTCAACTTATCAGAGGTGAGGTTCCGAGTTCATATCACTTTACTATATCTTATCTTCATTGCACTTCGTCATTGTCTTGGAAGTGAAGGTTGCCATGCAGTTATACCAGCCTCTTTCATTTTATTTTAATTATGTCGCATGGCCCTACGCAACCAGAAGCGCAAAGTCATTTTCAGATCACCTTTTGTCGGACGTTCTTTCTACCTACCAGGTTGCTATTCCATTCAATGAAATATGTCATCCATATGGAACGGGGAAATCAACAAAAATCATTATTGTACAACTCAAAAGTAAAAAATAAATAGAATACCATATTGAAATTCCCACTGGAAGGTGTCGAGTGTTCACCATGTTATTATGGTTAAAATGAATTTCACATTCCACATTGACCAATAAATTTCATGATTCCCTCCCGAGCCATTGCAATTTTCATGAATTGGCATACCTAATCTGGAAAACTTTAAATTATCCTCAGCCTGTCGAGTCAGGCCCCAACTTGAATCATTCCCTCCACAATTGCCAGGAGTCACACAAAGAGAGGTACAAATGTGAGAAGTACATATCTGTGTCCTTAGGGTACTCATTCGTACCTCTGTGCGTACTTTTGTGAGCTTGTGGTGCAGAAGTACACATTGGTACGTTGCAGACCCGGATGGCCGAGTTCCCGATACAGTACTCAAATTAGGCATAAGAAGGCATTCATGTTTCCGCGAACATTCGTGATCAAGTCAGGACGTGCCTTGCCTTAGGAGAAGAGTTATCTTCCTTTCCCTGTATTCTTCTCACCATTATATTAGTAGTTGTGAAGTAGGATTTGGTAAAAGTATTAATATACTTTTATATTATATTCAATGGCAATGAATGATTCTGGAAATTTTTAAATGCTAGAATTTTTAAAGAGGCCAGAGAAGTATAAACTGAGAGGTTAGGACTTTCTTTAACACGAATGTGTTGCCAACTTTGAGTAAACGGAACATATTGCCTGTTCAATGGGGTGAACTTGTTACGTACTGCATCCATGACAGTTGGAGAATGTGTTGCTTAAGAGACCGTCAGCACATTCTGTAGCGTCATGGAGATATTGCCGAGTCACCGTTTCCTCTAATATGATGGTGTAAGAGGATCTTCCTTATCCATGACAGTTCGCTGACTGTCGGAGACGTGGGGCTGGATGAGGATGTCATTGAAGCTCACTTCAAAACTGATGAATGTGGTTCTTAAGCAAATCTTTCAAACGCCCTTAAGCCAAAACGAGGTACAGATGGAAATCTAAAGAAAATACCCCATTCGTACCTTTTGCATTTGAACCTCATTTTGCTTCGGTACTTTTCCAATGAACGTATTTTACGACATACGTTTGTACCTCATAACGTACAAAATATGTACTTCACTATACGTTTCTGCTTTGCTGTTTGGACAGTTTAATCTGCTTCAGCAAATGTATTGAGGACTTCGGGGGCCTTCCCCTACGTTGTCTCTGGGGAAAAATTAGGAACCGCGTGTAAAGTACTGGGGTCTTTTAGCGAGTCATTCACTGATACCATTGAAATATCGGCTATTTAGGCACAGTCTCACTACATTTTGGAAACCTTGTTTGTTCAAATGACTAAGATGGATGGGATGCCCACAGATAGGACATATTTCGATTGCCATACTAGCGTCGCAGTGGGATCTTCATGGACAGCCCACTGCGATGCACGCCGACGCTCCCCCACGCACAGCCAACGTGGACCCGACGTGTTGTGCTACCTGTGTTGCTACAGCCTCATTTGATCTCGTCGCATTTGAACTTCCTCATGATTGAGCTTTCTTTAAGTCAAGTAGAGGAACGCACTTTGTTTTCTTTCGTTCCTTTCGACTTCACAGCGTGCACAACAATGCATTTAAATTTTCATTTTCCAGTTGTACGTTTTTCACATTTTTCTAATAGAAATAAATTTTTTATATTCATCACGTTACCCCGTGCTGCATCAACACTTGAAAGTTAAATCTTAAACTGAAATTCGTTAAGAAAGAACGTTGATGTCATTCAAGAGGGCGGAACAAAAGTATTTGCCACCTGCTGATTGTTAATAACTCATGGGTTTTATTGGATTGCAATCGCGTTTAGGTAATTAGGTCACTTGGTGAAAAGGTGGGCATACTTTTTTTTACTCACCTTGCAGTTTTTGATATTTTGAGTTTCTTGCAGGTCGGTTGCGCCATCTCCGGAGTTTTTCTGCATTTCATATTCCTCTCCGCATTCTTGTGGATGGCCTTGGAGGGCCTGCTCGTCTATCGGCAACTCGTCCAAGTCTTTCCGACCGGTTACCTCTCCACTCGAGCATATTACATGGTCGGATATGCTGTTCCCATCGGGATTGTTGGCATCACGGCCGCTGTGTCCTTCGGCACTAGGACACAAGGATATGGAGATGGAGAATAGTAAGAAATGATTTCGTCCTCTCCGCTCACCTCTCCGAGAAATCGGTTGCTAGAAAACTCCACTTGATTCGTTTCCAGCATCGTCCTTTCACACACGAAAGAACGGTTCCGTTCATAAAGAAAATAAAACAAGTTTTACTCGTACAAAAAAGTCAAAAGCCATTGAAATCCAATACTTACACATTGAATAAGAGCAATATCTCATCAGAGTGTTTTACAAGTGGAAACCATTAGGAAATACTTGACATACGATCTATCGTGGCTATGTTCTGTTCATGGGAACCCCTGTTGATTTACATCCCCCAGATGTTGATCTATCCGTGTTCCCAATCCTTTTTTCGCAGCTGCTGGCTATCATCGCCTTATTATATATGGACCTTTGCTGGCCCAGTCCTAGTCATTATTCTGCTCAACGTTTTCTTCATGGTTTTGGCCATACGATCGCTTAGCCATAGCGGGAACGTTGGCCATTCCGGTCGGAAAAGCGACGTGTAAGGACTACCTTTTTCTAATATTTTGCTTTATTTTTGAATCGTCATGACGATTGCAGACAATGTTGGACTGCTCTAGACACATGCTGAGGACAACCCACAGGGATAGCACGGACGATCCTTAGCCAACCTACAAACCCAAGGAGATGTACGTTCACTGGGGATAGAAGCAGATGGAAAAGTGGTAGCAGTTGCGGAGTGTCCATTGTTCGTGCTACTTTCTGGAGATCTGTGCTCATATTGATTCAAAGGATGCTTCATTTCATGCATCGTTACTTATGCGCAGAAAGTCGATTTAATCAGGATGTGAACCGTTGGTTCAGAAATTGTTCGGAAACATTTATTGATACACGAATCGCTGTTGAGAGCGAAGGGCGCTTTAAATCAAGTTTGAAAAATATTCTTCATATTAGGCATTCTACAATGCCATACATTTTGCAGTCTGTTGCGATAAAAATCACAGTATCGATTTTTTTGAGCGCTTACATGCTTTAAAGGCATTTGGTACTTGAATGTTTCATTGGGTGAAAATATAATTTCGAACCCAGAGCATTGTGAAATAGATATTTATAATCCGATGATGATTCCTTGGTTTATTTATCACTGTGTGGAATGCATTCATGTATATCCATGCGTCATATGAGTAGTTTTCTCTTCTGGAACCTTCATCATTGACGTCAGCTGTATTATTTAGCTCATGATGTCCTTAATGCCTCATCACGGTTTGATGGATTGTTTCGTAAGCTGAGGAACTCTTCCAACTTATTATTGTTAGCAGATCCTATGGAATTCAATTACGATTAAATATTAAGTTTTCACGTTTCACTTCCTCCCGCAGGGCTTGCTGATTTTTGTGTTCCACTGCCTCCTCAATCGACGGCTGAGGCAAGTGGTTCGATTCACAATTGCTAAAAAGGGCAGGAACTTCGAGAACTTCAGGAAAAGGGTGAGGAAGCGTTTCCTTCGTAGCTTGCTTGTGTTTATGTCTCACGCCTGAACTCGACGCGGTATGTTCAAATATTAGAGAAGAGAAGCCAGGAAAGAAGCCAGAAGTGAACCGTCCTCCAGGACGTCCCATTCTGACAGCATACTGGTCGAGTCTCGAATGGGGACTCACAATACGTATCTGAAGCATAGTTTGACCAGCGATCGGGTGAGTCCTTCAACCATAGACGCTTATGCATTTCCTATTGAACAGCTCCTACACCGCTAAATTTATTTCCAGGTCTACTACTGAATGGTCGGAAGGTTCCTGGCACAAAGAATACTTTTCTATGTATCATACATATTTTGGAATAATGAAACATCTTTGCACCTACATAGTTGCAGAATTTTTCTTCCGCTCCACATCGAAGAGAATATTGGGGGATCCGTTTTTCTTCGACTTGAATGGCTTTGATGAATGTGAGTGAATGGTGTCTCCACTATGGAAAGTTGAACGATATATGTGGGATGTCGTTAGTTCTAGTACTGTCATCATACGTACACGAGCTTCGTTCTGAAAACGTTATAAGTGAAATGGTGTACTGTGCAACTCTACTCTTGCTTCTGAACGCGTACGTTCAAAAATGTGCTAAAAGGTAAGCCGTACCATCTTTGATGCTCTTAAAGCGCTATTTATACAAACCCCCTTAAATTTATTTTTTCCGGTTGAACTAGATGGTCCTTGGAAATAATTCCATCTTCCAAACATTCTCCAAATTGAGTTGAGCATATTGCTTAGCACTGTTTAAGTTTCAACAAGGTGACTCAAGTTGACTAATGAATGGTAGTCCTCTGCGAAACGTATTGGACGGAATGACCCGAAACTTGGAGGGTGGTTGTCGGAAGCATGCTGCACTCGAACCAATTGAAGAAAGCAGCTGACAGCAAGGACTCCATCATCGCCATATATGCAAATTAGGTGACCAAATGACGGCATACATCGGTGGCAGTACCCAATGAGGCACACATTGCAACAGGAATGAGACGACGTCAGCACTCCTGAACAGTTTCAACCTCAATGGTCGATATTATAAGAACGACTGGAAAGTCGAAGCCACTCCGGGTGTGCAACTGTGTTAAACATGTTTATGTAACAGAGTTACATTCGTGCCCCAGATAAGTTCTGCAACACCCGGTGCCAAATTCACACACACCTCCTTCATGAGTATCGTCCCGGCGCACCACGCAATAGCAGAGGGAATTGTAATGGAGGTGCACCATGCTGTGCTTTGGCTGTACCCCGCCATGGTGCGATCAGCGCCGAGAGATTGCACTCTGTACAGGTTTATCGATGGTTACGAGGCGGTGGCCTCAACTTTCGCTGCATTTCTCACCGGGAACGAGTAACGCAGGCACCTAGTGTCCACCCTACAAGTTTACGTTCATTCCATCCAATAGTGTTCATAAGAGATTGCCACGCATTGGTCAACTTCTCAAATGATCCTGTAGATAAGCGCGGTGTCACTCATGGACTCCAAATGTGAACAAAGGGCTACTGGACGACTGTGCAACACAAAGTAAAAGACAAGTATAGTCCCACAGTAGAATACGATATTAATGATTGCTTCCAGTTCCAACTCTTGGAACGGTGTTTTGATGAGGTCATAAAAGGCAAAGAAGTAGCGCGCGTCTTTTTTATTAGCCAAGCACACTGTTTCTTATTTAACATGTTTTAAAACCTCTCACTGCGACATTATAGTTGGCGTGTCATCTTTCTCCTCGAAAAGAGTAGGTGCTACTGCTGTTAAAAACGGTCGGAGTGGTGTACTTCTGTTTCCTGTAGCTACTCGCTATGGCGTATTGAATACTCTTTTGTTTACAATGGACTGGTTGCAATGTGTTTAATTGCACCACGGTGCGCCATGTCAATCGACGTCGTCCTCCTAATGGACATGCTCCAGAGAAAAGGATCCTTCATCCTCCACTTTCACGAGTCCAAGCACTGTACTTCTCTTGGAAAGGCAATTCGTTTGATCACCAGCGATCGACACAAAACTCAGCAGTGAACGCATGTCACTTTATGAGTTAATTGCTGAATTTTTTTTTTGCCAAACTTCACAGCATAAGAATCACTTGCCATGACATAATGGAAACAAATATGGAAGAAAGTGGTTCCGCCTATACTCGCATTATCCTAATACCACGTATGAATCTAGGAAGTGAATTCACAAAAAGGGCAAATCCATGAACATGAGAGTCAGAAGAGTCACCAGCATCATCTTTCTTCGTTATATTAATACATAAAATAATTTTGAAATAAAAAAATTCATCCAGCAAGTGATGAATTGCATGTTCTGTTGCATGTCGACTGCTGGCGTTCAAGGAAACTATCAGCAGGGCCTTTCATGAGGGTCTCACAATGTACACTCTTCGAAAAAGGAGAGCGATTTTTCTCAAAAAAGAGAGTAAAATAGCTAACTCCAGTTTCACTCCCATTTCACTTTAGGAAAGGAGCGAATTTGTTTCATCGCCAAGGAGTAAAATTACTCTCCTCCTCCGCGAGTAAAAACGCTCCCCTCAAAGAGATAGGGATATCATGCAAATATGAAAATTCTCACATATAAAGGTACTTTGTATCGCTTCCACTCCCGTTGACCTACCTCTGACTGTACTTTTTACAGTACATGTCAGAGGGTGGACCACCACTTAAGGTTATGTAAAGTATCCGTGATATCAGTCATTCATTACCTCATTCAATAGAGACTAGCGGCCTATGGCCGCAATTGCGGTCTTCTACGCGTACATAGACTTCTTTCTCACTGTTCATCAATTAAGAACAGTCGTGGCCAGATTCCAGCGGCCAAAATGTGAGCTACTAAACGATGGAAGAGATATGCATCACAGAGATGCTGAGGCACAGCGTGCTACATCTGCCCATATACGCGAATTATACGCAAAATTAGTTAAACATGGGTAAAGTAAATTAATGTGGAAGGAACCATGCAAGATCAAGAAACGGGACAAACGTGCGAACGAAACGGAAAGTTTATATCATAACGAACAAAAATAATCCCGACGAACGGATTTGAAAAAGAAGTGCTCCTTTCTTATGGTGTAACAGCCATTACCACGGTCATGGTCAAAGCGGGACGAAGCCAGGTAGTTATTGGTCTTAGAACTCGCTTGAGCGCTCGTCCGTTACGTGTTTACGGTACTTACCTATGGCCGAGGCATGGTCGGACTTGATTAAATCGATTGCTTGGTAATCGCACGGAGAGCGCAGATGGATGGCCCTGTACTCGTAGAAATGTTTCACTGCCCACATCACGTAAATAGAATTTTGTTTGCTGCAGCTAGCATGTTTTTTGTCAAAGGAATCGTTGGGTACGACGGTCGCAACGAGCTCATTTTGATGCAAGTCTCAATGATTTAACCGCAAGATGCTTTGCGGACGACTGGCAACACTTGGCGAATGTCACCATTCAGCACAACTACATTCCCACACAATCGGTCATCGTCCATCGAGCCTCGCAACGCTCGTTCCACCGTTGCAAGCGCTTCAACGGGCGCCATCGGCGCTTCATCCCAAAACGATGACGTCGGTAGCTCGAATCATCGCCTGACTTTTGTGCGATGGATGACACATTCAGTATGTTAATTCGTGTGGTGTACAGGAATTGCTTGCCAGTGCCACCTACTCAATCGATAACAAACAGCGACGCACTTCCCATTCCGAATTTTCATGCGCCGATGCCATTAAACCACTTCATTTGCATCATAAACGTATAGTTGAGCATACGCTAGTTGCTAATTTTGATTTAGCGGAGGAACGACATTATTAAATGGATGTAGTCTGGTCGTAGTCAAATGATAGACCTAGCTGGATGCTGAAACAGTAAGGACCGTTACCGGTAAAGTCAACAATCACTGCACGAAAAGGAAGCAAACGCGTTTGCGCTGTTATACTGACTCGCGAAAATTGCAAGCGTTCGCATCTTCTTTCTATCGTCAACGTTTTCAACTCGGGCGGAAACTTCCATGGGTTCGAATGGAACACCATAACATGCTCATGACAACAACCATGTCGAAGTCTTGATTTCGAAGCGGAGAAAGACAGAGGCAAGCCGTACACAACAGAGCACGCTACTCTCCGCACCGCGTTAACAGCCTTATGTTGCTCTACAATCAATGCGGCTCTCCTCTTGATAATAACGTTTTCACGTTGCTCACTGGTCAGAGCAGACCTTCGCAGCCTCGCCTCTCCTCATCCGTGGGCGCATCCGATCCCATTTTCTTCAAGTTTTGCGTACCGCTCATGAGATCTCCGTTTTTGAGTCCTTCAGCGAGTCATTTTGCCTAGCCTATGGCCGAAAAAGTCATAGCTTGGATGGCATCTTCCTGGATTGAAGGAGGGAGGGCCTTGAAGAGGAAGAGGAGAATATCCCAAGTTGCCCCGTTCCATTCACATTATACCCTTCCTCTCACGTATTTATGTTTTTATGCATGTAACCGTTTTTCTTTATTCTTAGTAATCGCACAACAAAATTATTGGGCACAAATTGAACATATCTAAAAAATCAAAATTGAATTTAAAAAATGGATTCCCCGTGAATCTCATTCATGAGATTTAGGCTAGACATGACACTAGTTCTAAGCAAGTTCTAGAGAAATTATTGGGTTGGAAAGAAAGTCTTGCAACACTTTCTAAAACTATGAAAATTTTCAAAGGAATGATGGGCGAGGCTTTGCATTTGTATATGCTGGAATGTTCTCGAAGCTTCTGCCCTCGGGGTATATAAGGCGGCTTCTGCCATTAGTTGGCAGCCATGGCTCCGATCGAACAAGCAACTCTTCGCCCCATCGTCTACTACGAGTTCCTCCAAGGACACTCTATGAGAGCCGCT